GTGCTGGGCAAGTGCTCTACAGCTGAGCCACAACCCCAGTCCCAAACTGATTTTTTTGTTTGTTTGAGTCACTTTAGCAATTACTGAGCCCAAGGAGAGGATTGTGGAAATTCCTGAATATGGTGGGTCAGGGAGAAGCACAGGTGACACGGGGGAACWGCGACTGTCATTGCAAGTGGGGCATCTCATGGAATAGAGCCCTTTACCTGTGGACCTCATGCTCACTCCAGGTAAACGGTCAGAACTAAACTCTGGTATCTGCAGAGGAATGAAAAATTGCTTGATGTGGGAAGAAGCCACATAATCTGGTGAGCAAAAGCGTAATGAAGTGCTGTGAATTCAGAGGAACATTCTCCCCTGTGAGATGCACTTTTCCTTTTGCTCCTGTTAGGCGCACTGAGAATCCTAGACGTTACACACACACACACACACACACACACACACACACACACACAAGGACACACTCTGAAGAGGGACTGGCTGGGAACATCAGGACCCAAGGGCGGCACAGTGACGAGTTTCCTGGGCTTTCTTTTTGTCCCATTAACCAAAAATCTGAGCTAAAGATGTTGGAAACCTGGAAATACCAACAAGAACAAAGGAAGTCCGAACAAAGCTGTCTTTTAGCCAGGAAACCATCAAAAGAGCTGCCTGTTTGGTAGACCGCGTCCTCTCCTCCAGCCAAACAGCACAGAACAAGAGCCATGTCCACCCACACACAGGAAGAAAAGGCTCAGAGAGGACCGGACTTCCACCCTCACCTTGTTACATCAGAGAATGCAGAGTAGGGAGCCTGGGTTTCATCCCAATGGACCGGCGAGGACCCCAACCCAGGAGGCAGTGGAGACCATGCAGGGAGTCCAGGCTTCCACGGCACCGGCCCTCTCCTCTTATGGAGAGTCAGTGCTGTCACCAGCCCTGCTCAGCCAGGAGGCCTCCTGGAGCCTGGGGGTGGGGATTGGGTCTCCTATCTCTGCTGCGCTCTAAAGAGGAGGATGCTGAAGATCCAGAGCCTTGTAACACGATCTCTACCTTTTAACTGAAAATCATTCACCACACTAGGAACTAATAAGATTTCATATGGAAGGAAAAACAAGAGGTAAATGCYAATATTAAGATACTAGAGGTCTGGCAAATATTTTAAGCCTCCGTCAAAAAGATGATTAAAGAGCAAACATAAATATGTTTGAAACAAGTGAAAAATCTGAATATGTCAACAAAGATAGAGAAAATCTCCACAGAGAAACCGAAGAGGTAAAGAAGAGTCGAATGGAAATGTTACACCTGAAAAACACATTAACTTAAGCTAAATAATCAATAGAGGCAACAATAGAATGGAACTAAAGACAGGTGGCCTGGAACAGAGAGCAACAGAAATCACCCAAACTTGGCAAAATACAGGAGAACTACCCTGAAAGAATACCTACAAGAAATTCTCTAAGCAAAAAAGAGATACACCCCAAAACACCAAAGATAAATCAAAATGGAATTCTAAAAAATGTTCATGTAACTCACGGGCTAAAAGACAACATAAAAACTAGAGAACATGTATAGAAACGCATCAATAAGTGGGATGCCATTGAACTAAAAAGCTTCTGCGCAGCTAAGGAAACCATTAAGAGCATGAAGAGAGAGTCTACAGATGGGGAAAAATCTTTGCTAGCTACTCCTCCCACAGGGGATTAGTATCCAGAATATATAAAGATCTCAAAAACTTAACACCAAAACCCCTCCCAAATTTCCCAATGCACAAATGGGCAAAAGAACTAAAGAGAAAATCTTCTTTCAAAAGAAGAAACACAAATGGCCAACAAATACATGCAAAGGTGTTCAACACTTCTAGCCATCAGGGAAATCGAATCAAAATTACACTAAGATTTCACCTCACTCCAGTCAGAACGGCAATGATSGAGAACACAACTACAATAAGTGCTGGCACGGTGGTGCAGAAGAAGGTCCTCCTGTACACTCTTGGTGGGACTGCAGACTAGGGCAACCACTCTGCAAAGCAGTTTAGAGGTTCCTCAAAAACTAGGGATGGGATAAATAAATAAGTAAAAGAAGGAAAAGGCAAAGTACAGACTAGAAAAAATATTTGCAAGCCACATCTGATAAATTGCTCAAGTTGAATATATAACAATTTAACAGAAAATATTTGCAAGCCACATCTGATAAATTGCTCACGTTGAATATATAACAGAATTTAACAGAAAAACCAAGCGAGGGAACAATCCAATTAGAAAACATGTGAACAAATATTACTAAAATGATAATTCATAAGGCAAATAAGTACATAAAGATGTTCTGCATCATTAGTCAGGAAAATGAAAATTAAAAAGCACAACAAGCTTTCACTACACATGTATCAGAATGACTAACATAAAAAACATGGAGGGGCGGGGCTGGGGCTCAAGAGTAGCGCAGGCACTTGCTTGGCATGTGTGAGGCAATGGGTTCGGTTCTCRGCACTGTATATAAATAAAGGTGTTGAGAGCCACGGCCGAGTCGGAATGGCTCCTGGCATTTTGCCAGAAGTAATGGTTGAGAGGCGAGCCATTAAGATGATGCTGGATTGATTCAACTGTATATTAGACCTTTACTGTCCGGTAGTAGGAYGGCTCTTGCTGCGTCGGGCGGGCGGGCGCCCACTACTTTGGCGTTCCCGTTGAGTTCTCATGGGGTTCCCAGAGTTAGTGTGCTCGCGGCCYGGGGAGGGAGTTCCGGTTGGGGTGGGTGGCGTTAGGGAGAGTTTCTGGGGAGCGTGTGTGGAGTGTGCTGGTGGAGTTCAGAAATAAAGTTTGCTCCTGCTTGAGTGGCTCATGATTTGTGCCTAGCCAGACTGCAGCATAAAGGTCTCTCAACAACTAAAGAATATTAAAAACAAACAAACAAATAACAACAACAATAACAACAGGAAACTCCAAATGTCAGTGATGATGCAGAGACAGATCACGGACACATTGCTGACAGAAAGGCAAAACACTAGAAATGACAGTCATTTCTTATTTAAAAAAAAAAAACTAAACACCAACTAATTAACAACCCAGCAATTACACACCTTGGCATTTATCCCAAAGAAATTAAGACTTGGGTTTAAAACCTTGCACACAAATGTTTATAGCTGTATGTAGTAGTAGCCAAAAGCAAGAAACAACCAAGGTATGCTTTGACAGACAGATCGATGAACAAATGGTGGCACACTGAAACCAGCAATGGACAGGTACAAACTACCCAGGGAGCAACCTCCAGGGAACTAGACTCAGGGCAAGAGCCAATCTCAAAAGGTGACACACAGCGATTCCACTTAGACAGCACTTGTAATCGACCAAGTTATGAAAGTGGAGGTCAGTGGCTGCTGGGGACCACAAGGGAGTGCTGGGGGAGGGAGGCAGGTGTGGCTCTCAAAGGACAACCCAGGGATCACTGTGGTCCCTGGAGTGTTGTCAACACYCACCCTATGGCTATATCCTGGCTGTGATAACCGTATGTAGCTTTACAAGATGTTATTATTGGAAGAAACTAAGTGAAGAGTACACGAAATGTCTGTCTTATTTCTTACATCTAAATGTAAATCTAAAGTGATCTCACAGTAAAACATTTATTTAAAAAAATACATAGGGGCTGGGGTGGTGGCTCAGTGGTAGAGTCTTGTCTGGCACGTGTGAGGCCCTGGGTTCAATCCTCAGCATCACAATAAAAATAAATAACCAAATAAAAGAATTGTGCCATCTACAACTAAAAAACAAACAAACAAACATACATAAGAGCCGGGTAGCACATGCCTGTAATCCCAGCAGGATGATCACAAGTTCCAAACCAGCCTCAGCAATGGTGAGGTGCTAAGCAACTCAGAGAAACCCTGTCTTAAAATAAAATACAAAATAGGGCTAGGAATGTGGCTCAGTGGTCCAGTGCCCCTGAGTTTAATCCCCAGGACCAAAACAAAACAAGACAAAACAAAACATAGGTACTATTAGGCACGCTTTCCAACCATAAGAGAATGGCCAAAGTTCAACTCCAGTTAGTGAAAACCAGATGTGATATGTAAAAACTCATCAAGCTGTATACCTAAGAGTAATGCTATTCCTTTCATATAGTTTTATATAAGTTTAAAAAAGGGGGAGGAGGGGAGGAGTATATCTGAATTAGATGTGGAACAAAACTAGTTAAAAGTAGGTGTTGGCACACACCTGTCATCCCAGTCGCTAGGGAATCTGAGACAGGAGGACGGCAAATTTCAGGACAGCCTCAGCAACTTAGCGAAACCCTATCTCAAAATAAAAATAGATGGAGACATAGCTCAGGGGTACAAGCACCCTGAGTTCAATCTAAAACCAAACCAAACCAAACAAGCTAGGCTGGAAGATATGGGGTGAGATGGCCAACAGGAAGCAGGACATGGTACTGGGCCTCAGCAGAGACTGAACCAGGGACAGTTTTAAGACCCACCTTCATATAGGAGTCATTTACGTYTTCAGGACGGCTCTCCAAGATAAAGGGGGCCAGAGGGTGAGACTGTGAGATGCCCCCTCGGGCCTCGTGTCTGTTTCCTGACATAAAACCTTGGGATCCTGGGAGTGGAAGAGTGCTGGCTTTTGTTTTTGGCATGCTGGGGATCAAATGCCCCTACCACTGACAGACGCCCCTAGTACCGATGAATGACAAGCGCTCGCTGACTCCCCACCCTTCCTGTGAAACTGCCCTGGACTGTCTCTTCCATAACCTTCCTAATTCAGTTCAATGGCACCTTGTCTCTCATCTTTCTTGATAACTACTAATCTTGGTGATTCTGACCCTGATAAATATCCTCTCCTTCTGGAAATGTCTCCAAATATACCATCTAAAAACATTCCACTTTCCTGAACACATTTTCCTGTAGCTTTTATAATTGATTGTTCTCTACCCTTATATGCAGATTATTCAAGGATCTACTTCTACTTTATATAACTTTAGGTTTGTCTTCTGCTCAACTTACCTTTCAGCTCCTCTCCTCTCCCAGGAGGTGGGAGGTGGGGCTGAAAGTCTAAACTCTCTACTTACGCCTTGGCTTGACCAGCAATCCACCCTGAAGCTCTCTAGGAACCCCAAGCCAAGGCATAAGTAGCATACAAAAAACACTCTTGGGCTGGGGTGTGCTGGGTGGAAGAACACGTGTCTTGCAGTTGTGTGAGGCCCTGGGTGGGATTCCCCAGGAGTGCATATGCATGTGCGCATACACATGTACACACAAAACAAATAAAGCCTTTTTGAAGATGAATACCAATTCCTAGGATGGAGGAGAAATCAAGGAATAAGACAAACTAAAAACCAAAGGGACTCAGATGTGGTGGCACACACCTGTAATCCCAGTGACTTGGGAGCCCAAGGCAGGAGGGTCACAAATTTAAGGCCAGGGCTGGGGATGTGGCTCAAGCGGTAGCGCGCTCGCCTGGCATGCGTGCAGCCCGGGTTTGATCCTCAAGACCACATACAAACAAAAGATGTTGTGTCTGCCGAAAAACTAAAAAATAAATTCTCTCTCTCTCTCTTAAAAAAACAAAAACAAAAACAAATTTAAGGCCAGCCTTAGCAACTTCAAGATTCTGTCTCAAAATAAAAAATTAAAAGGGCTAGGGGGTGTAGCTCAGTGGTAAAGTGCTCCTGGTCAAATCCTCAGTACCTAAGTAAATAAATAAGACCAATGGGGAAACGGAGAGAGAGATACTGAATGCACTGGTGACCTAGATAAGAGAAGCCGTGGCCTATGCGGGAGCCAGTATCTAAGGGATAAATGAGGCTGCCCTCCCTGAGGACCCTGGGAACCTGACAGAAGCCCAACAGAGTGAGAGTCAAGGATCATTTGGAAAACCAGAAAAATAATGTGAGATTTCTGACTACCCAAAGAAAGGTCTATGCATCAAAACTGAACAACATCCATTTGCAAGGCTTAAAAATAATTAAGATGTCTTCCCTCCATGTCCTTGAGGGACTGGATCCAGGATCCCTTGTGGAGTCTAAGGTCCATAGGTGCTCAGCTCAAGTCCCTTATAGAAAAGTGCATAATATTTGTACATGATCACGCACACCCTCCTGTATGCTTTGTTATCTCTAGATTACTTACAATACCAAATAGAATGTAAATGCTGTGTAAATAGCATGTTATACTATATTGTATGATGAAAACAGAAAAAGTTTGTATGTGTTCACACAGAGGTATTTTCCTGTACATTTTCTATCCTTATCTATTGAATTCATAGATGCAGAGACCGCGGATAGTGGGCCAACTCTATTTCTATGTGTAAAAAGCTGGAATCGCTTCAGATCTATATAATTTATACCTTAAGTCCTCACATATTTGGGCAGCAGACTTTGAACAACCCAGGGTGGGAAAGTGGACACATCTGCCATAAAATTGCACCTGGCAGGTTCCAGGTCAGGGAGCCCTGAGGCTGTGTCCATTCAGGAGTCAGCACTGGTTCTACTCACCTGGAATGGAAATCCCTACTTCCTTCTCCTGGCCAAGAAGGAGGTTCCGGATGCAGCAGGACACACTGTCCATGGAGCTGTCCCTGAGGGTCACTGAGGCTGCCACAGTGAACAGGCCTTCCTCGTCAGGACTCCTGGACTCTGATGTGGCCAGGAACTCCTCTCCCTTGGTAGATCTCCACTGCACCTGGGGCTCTGGGTACCACCCCACGGAGGTGTACTCCAGCCAGACCTCGCTACTCTCCTGAACTTCCATGGTGRCGTGAGGCTTGGAGTTCATTGCTGAGGAGGGAGAAGCTGGCTTAATCTCTCAGTGGTGCCTGCTGCAGACTCACAATCCCAGGACTCCAGTGTTTATAAGGAGAAACAGTTACCTGAGAAATCCAGAAGTGGGTACAGCACAACTCATCATTTCAAAGGGACTGAGGTATCAATATAAAATGGCACTTCAGGGCTTGGAAAGTAGCTCCGTGGCRTGGCAAAGCACTTGCCTCGAAGGCACACAGCTAGTTTGATCCCCAGTGCTGAAAAACAAACAAAGATCATTTCACAAACCTTCTAAGAAAGAGGCCATCTTGGAATCAGACACAAGTCTGCCCCTGGGGATGATGGTCATTTGAGGCAGCTGCTGAAACGTGGACAGCTGGAYGGAAAAACACCAAAACAGCTCTTCCAGGCAGAGGGAGCAGCAAGAACAGCTCGAGGTGGGCAAGCGGCCTAATCAGGCAGTTCTGGCGGAGAGAAGGGAGTTTTGCCGCTGGAGAAGAAAGCTGAGAGGAGGCAGAACAGGGCTGCTCCCGAGGGCGGCCCGGTGGGGAAGGGAAAACAGTTTCCTATGCTCTTCTCTGGATGTCTGTGGGAGAAGAACTGGGAACSGGGCAGGAGACATCCTTTGCTGTGATGTTCCAGGGATTCTCTGATTCTCTAGAGGGCAGAGAAAACACTACAGAGTTAACAGCAAAGCCATTCAAGAGGCACTTACTCAAATGTAAAGTATATGTAAGAATGTGTATTTCTCTGTCAAGAGAGTCAACACCAGCAACCTGGGAAACTAAGGCAGGAGGATAGCAAGTTCAAAGCCAGCCTCAGCAATTTAGGAGGCCTTGTCTCAAAATAAAAATGAAAAGGGCCGGATGTGGCTCAATGGTTAAGTGCTCCTGGGCTCAATCCCTGGCAACAACAAAAAGATAAAATTAGGCCTGTGACTTAAAAAAGAACAACAGTTTCATCCTGTAGGTTTTAGAAGCAGTTGTCAAGATGATCCTTCTTCACTACACATTAAGCACATGGGCTACACACACTGTTGCTAGCATGGACAATGAGACCCAGATCTCATTAAGATAGTTTAAATTATTTACAGAGTGGTGTCACGAAGCAGTCAGAACCTGTCTACTCACCAGCTACTTTCAGATTCATGAAGGCTTCTCCCTGGGCTTGCTTGTCTCTGAAGGAGCACCCATACAGCCCTTCATCAGAGGTCCCGATGCGGTGTATCTGCAGGGCCATGTGTCCCACGGTACTCGGACATCTGCTCTCCCTCCTGCTCCCGCCCATCCTGGAGCACCAACATGGCAGGTGAGAAGGTGTTCCGGAACCACCACAGCTCCATGTGCTCAGCATTTAGCCAGAGGTCAGGTGACAACGAAGCTCAGAGTCCTCACCCATGAAAGCCAGGATGGGCTCCTGAGGTCCAAGCASTTCAAAGTGACCTGCTAGAGAATGAGCAGGACCTGCAGGATATGAGAGGTGGGAATCACAGACTGAAAGGACCGACTCCCTCTTACCATTCCTCTGGGATTGTTGACATCTGTACAAACATTTCAACCCAGCAGGCCAGAGGTGCAAGGGAGCAGGTACGGAAGGGAGACCTACCCGAGTCAGCAGGTCAGCAGCAGGAGCACGATGGTGAGCAGACACTTGGGGAGGGAGTTTGGGAGCACTGCCATCTGTGTCCTTTCTGGAATAGCAGGACAGCTTAGAGATGAATGGTCAGGAGAAAATATGGGCTCCACTGACACTCTGTCCTCCACAGTCACAGTCCTTCCAATCCAGATATGCTGGTCATTTGCATGCGAAGCTCTTGTGCCTCCTCTCAATGGGGATTTTCAATGCACACCACCTCAGCACCTGCCCAGATGTACCCTAAGTTTGATCATGAATGGACAAAACAACAAACTGGATCCCAAAACCATAAAACATAGAAGGTAGGCATCATACACCTTGGTGGGTTGCATATAAATGAACCAAACTTGGAATCAGTATACTTAAAAAAACAAACAAACAAACAAACAAACAAAAACATCGCGGCCAGGAGATCTGGAGAGAGGCCCACCTGCCCCTCCACCCCTGCCAGCAGATCTGGAGAGCCCCCTACCCTCCCACCCTGCCCGGGAAGAGAGCCACCCCACACTGGGGATCCTTATTCACCAAAGTGTGGCTCCACAGCCCCATATCAGGGTACATATAGGCTTGAGGCTGCCACCACCACGAAACTAGGATATCGCTTCTTCTATCAAGGGACAATAATAAGGACCCAGTAAGACGTCACCAAGGTCCCCGTGGGCATGGCCGCACCAGAGGTTTCGCTACTAGGGGTGCTAACAGCTATCCTGTTGCTGAGGTAACAGGGAGTCTTGCATGGGGTGGCCTCTCTCTTATTTCTCCTCCTAACAGCCAACTTCCTATGATCACCCTCTCACTAGTCATATAATCTAATACCTCCATATTCCACATCCTACCTCATAAACATCTCAGTCAACCCTCCACACCCCTTCTGCCATCAGAAACTGTAAACCATTTCGCAAACCTATTGACTACATGGTAGAAGATTAACGAACTCATCATTTCTGATTATGGTAACAAAACTGTAAATGTAAAAACAGAAGCTAACTGATATATGGTTGCATGTTGGGCATACTGTAATATTGATCTCTCCCTTAAAAGTGAGGAATTGGTAACCTGTAGGCACACTAGAAGACAATAGGGCAGAAGCTATAATACCTCAGATCTACACTGCAAGAGACAAAGACTCAAAGACATCMTGAAAAAACAAGGGAGGAAAGTGCCCCCAACAAACAAGACACCTCAACAATAGAATCCATAGATAGCACAGTAGGTGAAAAGTCAGACAAGGAGTTCAGATTTGGGAATTAAAGAACGACCTATGTGGGCAGATACAGACAAAAATAGATCACTCCAACAAAGAGACAAGAGAGCAAATACAGGTTGCAAGAGATTACTTCAAGAAGGAGAGAAAGATTCTGAAAAAAAGCCAAACAGGAATCCTCAAAATGAAAGAAACAATAAGCCAATTAAAAAATTTAATAGATAGCATCACCAACAGATTAGATCACTTGGAAGATAGGACCTCACACAATGAAGACAAAATATACAATCTTGAAACAAATTTAAGATTTATTAGGATAGAGAAAGGTTCAGAGATTCAAACCAAAGGAATGCACAATCTCTTCAATGAAATAATATAAGAAGGGTGGGGATGTGGCTCAAGTGGTAGTGCGGTAGTGCGGTAGCGCGCTCGCCTGGCATGCGCGGGGCGCTGGGTTCGATCCTCAGCACCACATAAAAAAAAGTAAAATAAAGATGTTGTATCCACCGAAAACTAAAAAAGAAATATTAAAAAAAGAAATAATATAAGAAAATTTCCTAATCATGAAGAATGAATTAGGAAATCAAATACAAGAGGCCTAGAGGACACCAAATGTACACAATTACAAYAGATCTACACCAAGACATGTTATAATCAAAATGCCTAGTATACAGCCCAAGGATAGAATTTTAAAGGCTGCAAGAGAAAAAAAAAAACAGTTTACCTATAAGGGAAGACCAATTCAGATCTCAGCAGATTTTTTAACCCAGACTCTCAAAGCCAGGGGATCCTGGAACAACATATACCAAGCTCTAAAAGACAATGGATGCCAACCAAGAATATGAAATAAAAACCTTCCATGATAAACAAAAGCTAAAAGAATTTACAGCAATAAAGCCTGCACTACAGAACATTCTTGGCAAAATACACCACGACAGGAAATGAAAAACAACAATGAAAATCTGCAAAGGGAAGAACTAGAGTAAAAGAAAAGCCAATCAAATGAGAAACCAAGTCAAGCTAATTACCAGAAATAAACAAAAATGACTGGTAATACATGTCTCAACAATAACCCTGAATGTTAATGGCCTAAACTCATCAATCAAAAGACAGACTGAAGAGAATAAAATCATGGCATTTGCAGGTAAATGGATGGTGTTGGAGAAGACAATGCTAAGTGAAGTTAGCCAATCCCCCCCCCCCCCGAAAAAATGCTGAATGTTTTCTCTGATATAAGGATGCTGACTCACAGTGGGGTAGGGAGGGGGAACATGGGAGGAATAGATGAATTCTAGAGAAGACAGAGGGGTGGGAGGGAAAGGGAGTGAGCAGGGGATTAGCAGGGACGGAGGAATGTGATGGACATCATTATCCAAAGTACATGTATGAAAACCGAATTGGGTGTCAACATATTTTATACACAAACAGAGATATGAAAAACTGTGGTATATATGTGTAATAAGAATTGTAATGTGAAGAAAAGAAAACAAAGTACATGTAAAAAATAAAATAAAAAACCAAAAGACATATAGACTGGTAGATTGGATTAAAAAAGATCCAACAATATGCTGCCTTCAAGAAACGCATCTCATAGGAAGAGACACCCACAGACCAAAGGTGAAAGGTTGGGATAAAACATACCTGTTGGAGTCCAGCTCCAGCAGGGGGTCTCAGGAGACCAATGAATGGTGAGGGGTCGGCAAAAGGCAGTGGAGAAACAACACAGATACAAAAGTGAAGGTGCTGAATCTGATTCTTTACTTGTGAAGTTAAACATATATACTTTTCATTTTGGCAGGCTCACAGTATTTTGTGGTTACAAAATAGGAAACATTACTCAAGGAAACAAAATTTTACATATCTACAATTAGATAAAAAAATGTATCTTGGCTTATGCATAAGCAAGCATTTTTACTTTCAGTTCGTGTTTTGCTTTGAGCTGTTTCCACTTAGTTAGCTTTTAATAATAGTTAGAAATGTCCCAGACTATTGGCCTATACCTTGACTATTCTTTCTTGACTTACTGACTAGAACCGGCGCCTCGGTTATGGCAAGTGGTTAACTTGAAAAGAAAGGCTACTAATTTTAATAAAATAACAGTAAGAGCATCAAACCATTGTGCACAGGAACAAGAACAAGTTGCCCAGTACCAAACACTAATCTGTCTTCTTAATTAATTTTTCTTCTCTAGATTTTAATTTCTCAAAAACTTCCTTGACTGTTTTTCCTACAGGTTTTTTTTTTTAATTAAACATTAACAATTTACGTTCCACAGCTGGATCATTGCATTTAGAGCAAACAGATTTATTCTTAGAAGTAGTTGCATCAATTGGGAAAATCATGTTTTTTCCTTCATGCTTAATGGTCTATGAGAAGTTACAATTATACTTATGAACAGAAGTGCAGAAACAAACCATCCCATTCCCAGAAACATGCTGCGCTCCTCCAGAGGATGGACACCTTGCACCATCCACCTCAGTAGGGCCTTGCTTTTGCCTGAGTCAGGGGAGGGGCGCAGCACTACCATTCACATGGCCTACGTAAGCAAGCAGGTGTTTCCATCCTCCTATCAGATAAAGTAGCCTTCAACCCAAAGTTAATCAAAAGGGATAAAGATGCACATTTTATACTGCTCAAGGGAACCAACCATCAACAAGATATAACAGTTATAAATATATATGCCCCAGATAATGGAGCATCTAAGTTCATAAAAAAAAAAAACTCTTCTCAAGTTCAAGAGTCAAATAGACCACAACACAATAATTCTGGGTGACTTAACACACCTCTTTCACCACTGGACAGATCTTCAAAACAAAAGCTGAACAAAGAAACTAAAGAACTCAATAATATAGTCAATAACTTAGACTTAACTGACATACATAGAGTATATTATCCATCAATGAGAGAATACACTTTCTTACCAGCAGCACATAGAGYCTTCTCTAAAACAGACCATACATTATGCCACAAAGCAACTCTTAGTAAATACAAAAAAGTAGAGATACTACCCTGCATTCTATTAGATCACAATGGAATGAAATTAGAAATCAATCTAAAATAAAGGATACTCCAACACCTGGAGACTAATATGCTACTGAATGAACAAGTGGTTACAAAAGATATTAAGGAGGAGATTAAAACATTCTTAGGGGTAAATGAGAACACTGATACAACATATCGAAATTGCTGGGACACTATGAAGGCAGTTGTAAGAGGAAAGTTCATTGTTGGATTTCTGTTCTCGCGACTAAAAGGCTCAGGGGTCACTCCAGGTAAACTGGGCTGACTGGGTTGCGCAAAATAACCACACAAGAGACACAAATACCTTTTTCTTTGGAGTCACTGTGACGGCTCCTCTAACCTTAAAGGTCAGCAGGAAGAGAGAGAGAGAGAGCACGCACTGACCCTTTTTGTAGAGAAGAAGCTATTCAAATGAGGCAAGGGTCAGGTTTCAGGGGGCTGGGTCTATCTTCATGATGTCCACTGTCAGCAGGTTGACTGACACCTGGGTAGGCCACACCCAAGGGCATAGTAAGAGAAGGGGACACACACAAGGCACTTCCAYGGAACATTCTATCCTAACAGGGCGAGGGGTTACATTACATAGGAACAGGTGAGCATAGCTCCACCCATGGGGCTGTAGCAAGACACAGTCACTCGAACCCTAGAAGAACGGGACAGTCTAGCAGCATGGGTGGCTGACGCCACATCATTCAGCATGAGATTGGTCTCCCACAATGGAGTTCATTCCTTCAAAGAAGAAAAAGTCAACAAATAAATGACCTAACATTACATCTCAAATAAAAAGAAAAAGAAAAACAAATCAACACCAAAAGCAGTAGAAGGCAGGAAATAATTAAAATCAGAGTTGAAATCAATGAAATTGACAAAAGAAACAAATGAAAATAATTAATAAAACAAAATTGGTACTTTGAAAAAATAAATAAAATTGATAAACCATTAGCCACGCTAACAAAGAGAAGGAAAGAGAAAATTCAAATTACTAACATCCATGACTGAAAAA